CAACTTCTTTATGGTTTTCTACTTATTTTCTTTTAGTATCTGAATTGTTTATAAACCTCATTATATATGTGTGTACTGATATCAATATACAGAAGAAATATATTTAAAGTGTTGTACCTGTTGTATTGTAAGGATATGAAAAACATCCTTCTTTAGAGTATATGTCCATGTTTTATTACCTCCAGATGAGCTTGAAGCCATACATAGAGCCGGTCCTAGCCTGTATGGGGCCCTAAGCAGATTTTGATTTGAGGGCCCCCACCGCCTCTGTACCACCAGTGTTATTGACCATTGTCAATACTTGATCATACACACACTGTAAATCTAACACACCCATTTTCAATTTTATTGGTTGTAGCTATGTTGCTGATACCAGTGCCAGCCTGTATGCCTCTTTGGTGAAATAGTGGTGCGGCTAAGTGGCAGCATAACTCACAATACATAACTATGTATCGTTACTGACGTCACTAGTCTCATCCTCTAAACCAACTTGTCTTTTAGACTCTGTCCCAACTGGACTTTTTAAGGAAGTTTTCCCCCTGATTGACAGTTCCATATTAAATCAGATTAACACGTCTTTGTTAACCAGCTACGTACCACAAGCTTTTAAAGTGGCTGTATTTAAATCTCTGCTAAAAAAACCTACACCTGATCCAGAGGTCTGAGCTCATTACAGACCCATATCAAACCTTCCTTTCTGAAATCCTAGAGAAAGCTTCAGGAACGTCTCAAGAACATCAAGGCCTGGATGAGCCAGAACTTCCAGAACTACTTCTAAATTCAGACAAAACTGAGGTCATTGTAATTGACCCTAAACATCTCAGAGAATCACTGTCTGAACAGAGAGTCACCTTGGTGTCAGTTTGTCCTCCAGCTCCATTGTGAGGAACCTTGAGTTATGTTCGACCAGGACATTTGACCAACATATAAAACAAGTCTCTAGGACAGCTTTCATTCACCTGCACAATATTAATTAGGAACATTCTGTCTCAGAATGATGCTGAGAAACTTGTTTAGAGTCATCTAGACTGGATTGTCTGACTGACTGTGACGTGACGGAGCTGAACACTTGGTGCATTTTTTTCGACTCATCGTAGATGGAATTGAAGAAACAGTTTACATAAAATCAAGTGACTCACTCAGGACTTGCAGTTGGATCTCGCCTGTTTTCGTGATTCCTTTAAGGTCCACAATGGTGATGCTATAGTCTCCGCTGTCCATTAACGTCAGAGACTTTAGGGTCAGGAAGCCGTTGGTCGCATTTATGGTCACGCGATTTTCGTAAGGTTTGTTCACCGTCAACCCTGCTTTTCCCATGGTGGCCACGTGAATCTGCTCCTCTCCATTGTTAAAGTTCCAGATGATAAAAGCATACTCCGGATTGTTAAGCAGCGTTGTCAGGACGATCTCCCGAGACAGCACCGCGTCCACTGGGCCGTGCGGGAGGATGTCCTCAGCTGAGCCACAGCCTGCACACACACAGACACAAGAGACAAGAGTTACAGACAGGCACACAGAGACACACACAGTGAAAGACAACTGCAGAGAACAAAATCTAAAACAATACGTGGATGATTCTGTGAAAGCCTAAATTCAAACTGTAACCTCAGCGAGTGAAAAGACAGAGGATAAAAATGAGAATACAACAAACAGAAGGAACAACTATAGCCTAAAATGAAGAAGGGACTATATCCCTGCAGAAAATAACTTAAACACAACTTGTCATCTTTTATACTTTACTTTTCCTACAGACAGGACAAACCATACCATGCTGTTAAGTGTGTTATGCTAAACTAATCAGCTGCTGGCCATAGCTCCAGATTCTAGACAGATACGAGGGTGGTATCAGGTTTTTTTTTTTTTT